AAATAACATCCTAACTTGATTAGTCTTCCAATATTCTAAATCTAGTATAACTAAGTGGTTTTTATGCTGAATTTTGCAATTTTTCAAATCCCAAAGCAAAAAAAACTCTCAACAAACGTAGTCGTAAATAAGTGAATACTTTGTACTGTTCTCAGAATAACAGACTTGCAAGCTGGTAATAACGTGTAAGCTTGATGAATTCATGAATGAATTCAATTTCTTCAATCACTGTACAAGTACAATAAGTTTCGCATTTCAAAAGTAACGAATTATGTTGTAAATATAAAAGGTAAATTTCAATGTTTTCCCTTTTTTATAAATCTGCTAATGATGCAGCTCTTGACACTTTACTCATAACTGATAATGATTCAAACACACTGGTGTATTGCAACAGATATCATTCAATGAATTAATAACATTTTTCTCGTTAACCATTCCCTTGATCTATTACGAATGGACAGATAGATTCGAGTGAGTAAATGAATTATATAAGGTGAATGACTGAATCAATAAAAGTACTTAACTATAGAAAATAAAACACTCGGTTCGAACAATAGGTATGATGGAGAAGACTTGTAGCTCAGGTGGATGATTTTGATGAAAGCTTCACAATCAAACCATTCAGTTCAAAGAACAAAACTCCATCAAAACAGTACGTATTCATGGGTATCTATAGGGACTTTCAAGTGATGCAAATGATAATTCATCTTGTTATTATTTCTGATTATAATCTGAACAATTTTTCATTTACTAAACATTCCTCACTATTTACTAAGTGTAGTCGTGTTCAGCTTTGATCAGATTGTTTTTGCATTAGAAATAAGGAGTGAGAAACCCATATTCAATCAGGTTATCAAGTGGGTGAATAATTATACTTTTAGAATGCATTGTTTAGTCAAATGAAAAACTATTTCACATAAACAACTCTCTATACACTTTTTCATTAGCTAATCAATTTAAAGTTATTACAGGCAAATAGATTTAAATGTCATGATCATATTTAGCTTTGATAGTTATTTATGTAGAAGCCTAGAAAGAGGAATCTATAAAAAAAGTTTACGATTGGAGACAATCTTCACGAACACATCAAAGATACAGCTTTTTCATTTCATTTATGGACAGTTTTAACCAAGAATTTTTAAATATGACGAGCATAACTGTAACATGATGCATCATGCAGAAGTAGATCAATCAAAATAGATTACAACACAGTTGAATTAACATTTCAATAAATTGTAATATTTATTGGTTTGGACAGTTTTGAACTAAATGGTACATTCATGAATATAGGAATTTATTGACTGAGTTATTTTAATACTTAGCTCAACAACTGTATTTATTACATGAAAGTTCAACGTGTTTATTCAGTCAACTTCCCTCCAACAATTACCTTCATGGTAATATATAATTTCAGTTTAATAGCTGAATTCATGAGTTCAAAGGTCCTGGGTTCAAATCCCGCAGGTGGGATCGTGGATGCGCACTACTGAGTAATACCCTACTAAGATGAAACGGCCGTCCAGTACTTTCAGGTTTTCCATGGTGGTCTAGCTTTAATTGGCTCATGAATTTAACTATTAAATTACAATAATATCTAAAAAATCCCCTTTCTGATAATAAATACAGTTTACTTTAATATTCTTGTTCTGAAAAATATATACTACATCAGACTGTCATATTTACTTAATTCTTGTTTTGTAGTCTACCGTGTTTTAAAATACTTAATTGTGATTACTTCTATGAGACTGTCTAAATAAAAATGATTAATTCAGCGGCAATATTCTACGGTATTCCAACGTAAATGCTCTCTTTCTTAATATCTAAAAATTACTACAAGATAATTAATACTAAAATTTAGATACTTAATAGAGATTTTATTGCTCAGGTCAACATTTCACTAAGCTTACCTATGTCAAATGTTCAGTTGATTTTCTGGGTAATCTGAATTACCAAGCACATAAACAGTTAGATCAAGTTCCTTGAGTATAGGTTGTGAGAAATTTACAAATGTTTATATGTTTACTATCCTGGCTTTTACAGTGAATGGATCATTTACAATGATTGATCACTGAAACATGATGATTACCATGTTTTTTAGTCCTTAATGCTAATATAATTTCATCAAAAAAAGTCATAACATGACCACTCATCTAAATGACTTGATATCGCATTCATGATATTTTGCTGTCAGGTTGTTGGAAGTAGTCGGCTAGAAACTTTTGACCCAGGTTTTGGGCTCATTAACACTCGTCAGTAAGCCGTATCTAAAATAATTAAAGGAACTAACTTTCATTGTAAAACAGCTACATATGTATAAATTGAATAAATTTTTTTGATAAATTCAAAGCAACTTCCACAATAATCATGTCGAACTAATGAGACAAGATAATCCATGAACATACATAATTAGAGCTGATAGAGATATAAAGTATACTCTATTCAGATTGTGAGTAAAATAAACTGTGACAATAATAAATTAATACATATATTGTATAGTTTGAATAAATTTTTTTTTCAAACAGGGTGGATCTGATGCAGATGTGAAGGCGCGGATCGGCAAAGCAAGAGCAGCATATTTACAACTGAGGAACATCTGCAACTCAAAGCAATTGTCAACCAACACCAAGGTTAGGATTTTCAATACAAATGTCAAGACAGTTCTACTGTATGGAACAGAAACCTACAGAACTACAAAAGCCATCATCCAGAAGATACAGGTGTTTATTAACAGTTGTCTACACAAGATACTTCGGATCCTATGGTTAGACAATATTAGTAACAATCTACTATGGGAGAGAATAAATCAGATCCTATCGGAGAAAGAAATCAGGAAGAAGCACTGGAAGTGGACAGGACACACATCGAGAGAAGCACTCAACTGCGTCACAAGACAAGCCCTCACATGGAATCCTCAAGGCCAAAAGAAAAGAGGAAGACCAAAGAACACATTACGCCGAGAAATGGAAATAGACATGAAAAAGATGAACAAGAATTGGATGGAATTAGAAAAGGAGGCCCAGGACAGAGTGGGTTGGAGAATGCTGGTTAGTGGCCTATGCTCCATTGGGAGTAACAGGCGTAATTAAGTAAGTAAGTAAGTAAGTAAGTAAGTAAGTAAGTAAGTAAGTAAGTAAGTAAGTAAGTAAGTATATTGTATAGTTGCAGAAATAACAAAATGATTGTTCACACTATGTACACAATTCGAGATTACGTAGTAAACGGATTGATATTTATCATATAATTGATACTAGATCTAAAGTGATGAAAAATAAATTATTTCAGAGCTTAACAACAAAATACAATTAAATTAGAAAAAAATTAGGTTTAAAAAGTATCAAGCGCAAGGGTATAAACAAATTAGACGTATCTAGTTACTTTGTAATCTAGTTGATTATCCATTCATTGAATATGTGTACAATCAAGTTAGCAAAAGAAACTGGATCTACTTTTTGTATTTAGTTCTTGAGAATACTATTTCTACTACCTGAAGTTTTAATGCCTGGCCATTTTTCCTAGATTAATTTTGGTAGATATGACATATTAAGGGCAATAACTGATTGATATTCATCTCAGATTAAACTCTTTAATATCTTGAATATACCTTCACTTAAACACAGTGGAAGTTGTTTCGTGGTATGGAATAGTGAACTCTTAAAATATCAGTCAATGTAACTCCAATATAAATTGTCGAATTTTTATACATAGTAAGAAATAACTACCTTAGATAATCTATGTTTTAGTTTCACTATCAACATTGGACGAGTACAAATCATTAGTTGTAGTTGATTGGGGTACGTAAACCCAAAATACGATTCAGGAGAAAGAAAATCATTATCCATTTTTGTTACATTAATTTACTTACTGTCGATTCTGACCACGAGCTTCCAATATATTTCTTCACTATGATCTATGTTCACTTTATTCCTGAACTATGATAATTGTAATCGATACATAACTGATGATCTAAAATATATTTTGAATTCTGATGGGTCTTAATCAACAATTCGTCTATACAACAACTGAAAGTTTTAATCTAATTAGTGTGGCGAAGAAGATGAAGAAGACAATCGTAGTTTTATTTATAGAACCGAATGTGAAGTCGCAAAATAATAGATCACTACACGAACATGTCAGTAGTTTTACTATAAAGAATATCGTTCAAGTATTAAAGCAACTTCAGATATACGATTAAAACGATAGAAAACAGAATCGAGGTTTGTGTACCTTCTATAGAAATTAGGCCGTTCTTCCATCAACGTAGAACAATGTATAAAGAAAAGAATTTCTAATTGAGATCATAAATCGATCAATGTTAAACCACCATTGTAGACCTAGAAGCACTAGACGACCGTTTCGTCGTAGTGTAGGACTGGTGCCCATGGTTCCGCACGCAGTATCCAAACCCAGGGACTTTGGTCTCGCGCGCGAACGCGTCTAACCTCAGCTTATGCATACTATTTCCAAAAAATCCCTCGAATTAACCAAGAAACATTCATTAACCAAATATTTTATGATATATTTTATTAGATTCATTGAGGTAACTAATCTGAATTACCTACAATCAGTTATTTTGCCTTATAGTCATCAACAATCACAATCAGTTATTGTATATTTATACATAGAAATAGATCTATCTGTTCCCGTTTACAAATACAAACATTGTTTAAATGTAGTGTAAATTATGTTCATTTAAATAATAACAAGAATCTTATGTATATTACGTGAATTTTAGGTTTTTACTGGTCATGTATCAATTCATATGCTTTAACAGATTGATATAGAGATTGATAGAGAGACATATGTTCATAAAATTAAATAAAGAATAAAGGTAAATAGAAGACGTTTCGCGTAGGTGTACTCATACAAGTTACTATTCAAACGATTTTTTTTATTATTATTATGTAATAAATATGCTTAAAATATGTTTGTAAGTAAGATATAAGTCAACATACACTACTGTTTTTATAGTCTTATTTAACAAATTTTTATAATTTCTTTTAATGTTAAATTCTAATCATACTGATGGTATTTATTGTATAGAACATTTGACAAACATTGGTTATTATATTTATAAAGTAAACATTACAGAATACATGATGTTCACATACATATGTATATGTTACTAACTATATTTAATTTAGTAATGTTGTGTCGTATTTTCTTTTCTTCTCTTTTGTATTACTTTAGATAGGTCAAACAAGTGATTCAAATAAAATACAACTATCTTTAATAACTAATAACCAGTTTGATAAATGGAATGTTCTTTTAAACAACGGATCTTTTACAAAAGAATTTAGACAATTTTTATTGGATACACATTGTTAATGTTTGATATATTGTATTAGTATTGATGATATTCCTTGTGGAATAATTTTCTCAGTGAATCCAATTCAATATTTCAAAAAAAAGATGCTGAAAAATACAAGTCAGTGTGTGGTGTTAACATTTTTATCAGTTATTTTAGTGTTTTTATCCAAATTTATCTACAATATTTTAGAATATATACTTTAGGTTACATAAATGTTATTTCATTTTAATGACTCCCCCCCACATAAAAAAATAGTTTTCATGGTATGAAACCATTTTTTTTGTTACTATGCCAATTCACTTGTTTGAAATACCTTTTGTCAAGTATAAACGCCTGTTCGACAAAATTGGCATTTTAAAATTTATTTTACTTGAGGTCCACTTTTCATATTTATCCAAAATAATTAATGAATAACATTGCAAATTGTAGATATCTGTTTAGTATTATTTGCCTGAATCATCCCAACTCTGAGATATAGGTACATCCAACTGACGAGTTTATAATAGGATGTCCTACATTCCACTTCTAGCCACCATCCATCTTTGCTTATAAATATCCGATTTAAAATATTTGTAACAGTTTTAGATCAGAATTGTCTATACATTTTGTATTGGAAGTTTACATTTTAAGTTCAATCAGCATCTGGAATTTAAAGTCAATAAACTTTTAAATATTAAATGTCTTTTCTTAAAAATTCAGTTTACGCACATATTCAAATCACTATACATTGTAGTTGCATTCAAAATAATGCATCACTATATCGTATGAAGTTCTGGTACGTACAAAAATTAAACCGTTGACATAGAACACTACATCTTATTACCACAAGTAGCATACTCTGACTCAGTTATTTCAGATTACTGTCTAATTCACTAAATTTCACATTGTACCTTAAATAAATCTGCTAATAATATCAAAACAATCCTAACCTATTCTTCTATATATGGAACATATACTGACATTTAAACTTATTAATTCAACGGTATGAAGTAGCAGAGCTGTGATTCGTTATATACCCATTATCATATAATATAACATGTATTAATTAACATATTAATTCCCTATTGAAACAATACTCAATAGAAAATAACATGGCTGAAATGACATAGAAATAAATTTTGTTAAAAAAAAAAGAAGGAATATCAACGAACTAGGTTGACTGTAACCATTTATGGAACAGTTATAAAAACAAATTAAAAGGGAATTGAACCTAATGTATAGAATTTTAGCTACAAATATTTATAACTATGTTTATATTCATTTACTTATTATAGGAGACGATTTTAGTGGAATTTTGTTCTCTGAGTGAGCTGGATTTGAAGTTTGTGCTGATGATGTCGTTCAGAAGAACGATGAAAGCTCCACGACCAAACCATCCAGCTCAGAGAATAAAACTCCACCAAAATCATCCACCTGAGCTACAAATCTTCTCCATCATCTCATAGGAGACGATTATTGATAAATTACACATTTTCATAAAATGAGTAATATATTGAGTAACTGTGATAATAACGAGTATTTGAATTATAGTACAAACTAAGAATCCCAGAAATAACGTAATAGGATCAATAAGTACTAGATAACTACAAACGAATGAACTGTATTAAGAATTCGAAATCAAGCATTCAACAAGTACAAAGAAATCATTTGTTCATTCAAACACCACAGTAACATCACTTAAGCAGGACATAGTTAAACTGGTAATGATGCTTATTATTTATCATCATCAATTCTATAGTTAATCATAAAAGTGACTTTCAAAAAATCATTTTAAATTTTATTATGTAGCACCCATTGCTTTTCCTCTTCTTTTACTTTTATAAAAAAATCTGAACCTTTCTAGTCATAAAATTAGTAATCAGTCAACAGTAGATCAACTTGTATTAAATTGATACTTAAGGTGATAATCTTAGATTTAAATATTATTAAATATATTATTATTATTATTAAATATATTAAATATTAAATATATTTAATTCATTCTTACATAAGGTGTAATTGAGAAAGAAAAGATTATCAAAATGGTCTGTTTTTAATTCGCTCATGATTTTCAACGATTACTTACTTACATACTTAAGCTTGTTACTCCTAGTGGAGCATAGACCGCCGACCAGCATTCTACAACCCACTCTCTCCTTGGCCTTCTTTTCTAGTTCCATTCAATTCTTATTCATTTTTCTCATGTCTATTTCCATTTCTGGCGTAATGTGTTCTTTGGTCGTTCTTACCTCCTTTGGCCTTCAGGATTCCATCCGAGGGCTTGTCTTGTGATGCAGTTGAGCGCTTTCCTCATTGTGTGTCCTATCCATTTCCAGTGCTTCTTCCTGATTTCTTCCTCCGATAGGATCTGGTTTATTCTCTCCCACAGAAGGTTGTTGCTAATAGTGTCTAACCATAGGATCCGAAGTATCTTGTGTAGGTAGAAAACTGTTAATAAACACCTGTATCTTCTGGATGATTGCTTTCGTAGTTCTCCAGGTTTCCGCCCCATACAGTAGAACTGTCTTGACATTTGTATTAAAGATCCTGACTTTGGTGTTGGATGACAGTTGTTTTGAGTTCCAGACGTTCCTCAGTTGTAAATATGATGCTCTTGCTAAAGCAAGAGCAAGATCCGCGCCTTCACATCTGCATCGGATCCACCATGTTCATCAATGATGCTGCCCAGATATGTAAAGGTTTTTACATCTTCCAAATATTTTCCGTCAATTGTGATTGGATTGTTGCATGCTGTGTTGTATCGGAGAACCTTGCTCTTCTCCTTGTGTATATTGAGACCTGTTGCTGCTGAGGCTGCTGCTACACGACACATGATGAAAGCCAAATTCCTTCGGAAGTTACGAGACCGATGCCCCTTCTGACAACCAGAGCAACCATTTATTTCAACGATTAGAATTACTATAATATTCATAAACCCCTTTCTGATACGAAATGATTAGTTACAAAACATATATTTACAGAACACTATTGTAAATTTTATAGTTTGTTTTGACCTTAAAGTGTCAGGTTTAGCTTTCATTGCATGGAGTCAAGGAGAAACTAATGAGTAGTAGTTGTTATTTGTAAATTTATTCTTTTGTATAATAATTGAATGATAAACCTCTTATTAAATCAGTATAAAATGTATCGTAGTTAAGCTTATCATTTTCAATTGATTTAAATTAATGAAATACTTTAAGCCTATGTCTGTTTTTATACACATACTTCCTTTTATTATTTTAAAGAGAGCAAGAACAAAGACTGGTGTAGAATAATATGAATTCATTTTGTTTTGTTAGTTCTTCATCAGCTGCTTACAACCTAAAATAGTTGAAAGTCAACGTTATTACAGATATTGACAAACTTATACGTAAGAGGGTGATTAAACATGAATATATGTATCACGATGGGGCGAAGATTCCGATAGAGTTAATTGGATCATTAACTTTTTGTTTAAAATAAATAAAGTTTGTAAGGGAAGAATCCAGAACATTGAAATGGTGATTAAAACTCACGGAATTGAAAAAACATACTAGATGATTATGAAGTGAAATAACTGAAAATCGATTAATGGTAATAAAGAAAGATGTGAATCGAAATCATTCAGCTATGAATGATGTAACTTTAAAATTCGGAATGAGTTGGAATGGTGAATGACGTAATAAATAAATAAGGGGGGGGTAATGTTACCAGAGCAAAGAAAGATTTATTACGGTCTCTTTTTGTATACATAGATCTGGTTTTAGACATTTGATTGCTATCGCTTCGGCGAATTTTGAAAGGTTTGAGCTTGATTGTTTGTTAATCAACTTGAAGGACTTCAATGTATCGACTTCGTGTCCCGGATCAACGAGATGTCTTGAGATGGCACTGCTGAATGCTTTCAGTCCGCCTGATGTTAAGCTCTTCGGAATATGTTCTTTGAATCGGACGTAGGCTCTCTTTTCTGTTCTACCAATGTAACTACTTTGACAGATACATGTACATTTGTGTACACAGTTGGTGGTAACATGAAAGGGATGCTTATCGGCCTTTGATTGTGTCAAAGAACATGTTATTTTGGACAAGACAATCAATTTAGATGCAGGATAAGTTCTTGTCAATGCAGTTTTTAGTCTAATGTTGATTGCCTGTTTTAATCGTATCTATAGAGGGCAAATGCCTGTGCGTCAGATTCTCTTTTTATCCTTGGTAACCATATCATTCATTTTTTTATTCATCATATATCATATAAGATTCCAATTAAACGCATGATATCATGAATTTATATCCCACTTAGCCTACAAGAAATTTTGGTAAGAACATTTTACATGATAATTACCTATTTAAATCAATGGACATTCAACTAATTTACATAATAACAGTTATGTAATACTTCATCGATTTCACTAAGGTATCACAAATTTTTAAAACGAGTTAAACATCATTCATGTAAATCTTAGATAATAAAATTTCTAATCCATACAATCAACGATTAACGAATAACTCATTTCAATAAGAAAACCGTAGATAACTAATTATACTTGTTTAACATGATAAACTTATTATAGGATATAAGAATAAAATTATATTAATGTTGCGCTTAAAAATGGGATATTCTTCATTATGATTTAAATTAAAGAGAATTATAAAGTTTTTATTTTAAAAGCAACAATAGTTAACCTCGAAACGATGAAGAAGATTTATAGCTTAGTTGGATGATTTTGACGGAATTTTATTCTTTAAGTTGGATGGTTTGATCATGGAACTTTCATCATACCTGAAGTTTGTGCTAATGATATTGTTCAAAATAACAATGAAAGCTCAACGACCAAACCATTCAGTTCACAGAACAAAACATCATCAAAAAATTGAACAAAAGTTGACCTCATTTCGACAACAACTAATCGCTGAAAAATTCCCATTATATTAAAACACAATTAATATGGACGAAGAATATTCTTTTCAATGAATTTCTCATCAGGTTCTACAATTATCTCATATCCAATGTAATAATCCATAAAATTTTCCAGATTTAAGGCAGATCACATCATTTGGAAATTGTAATATGTGAATTAAAAATTGTTGCTTGTCATATAAAATCAAATTAGATCGTCAATTTTGGGGTTGACTAATATAAAGTTGCTAACTTGAATCAG